GTGGCTTCGAGGCAAGGCTCGAGACCTTCACAGCCACTACTCTTTTCCTTGGGATTTTCCTAGAGAAAACACCCAGAGCATATCTCAAGAAGCGTAATGTAGAGTGGATAAAGGTGTGCAGCGAGACAGACCTGAGTTCCAACTCCTCCTCTACCATTTACCAAGCATTTCAGCTAGGTAAGGATCTGAGCCTCAGGGTCCCAATCTGTGAAAGGTAAATAACAATACCTACTCTGCAGGGTGGCTGTGGGGGTTGGAGACAATATGGCAAATTGCTTAAAGTGTTATAGGTGCTTAAGGGGAGTTACTGGTGTTTGCTTGGGTCCCCTGGGAGTGGGGGCTGGGACGGTGGCGTGTCTGGACAGCTCTCGGCACTAAGGTACGTAGTCAGGATTCTTCTGGAGTAGCCCGGTAGCTCTCAGTAGGGAATGAGATTGGTTGGATATTTGTGCCCTGTGCTGTGTGCCCAGGGAGCTTCTCCAGAACAGGGTCCTCATCACTGCTCCTGAGCATGCCCTCATGGAGCCAGCACAGGACTGTCCCGCTGCCCTTCATTCACAACAGCCAGTGCCTGCTTCAAGACAGAGAAGATGCTGCATCAGCTCCAAGTGGTGGGAAGGGAGGGAAGTCGTGGGGAGAAAGGGAAATTTCCCTTTGCGTGTACTTCCTCTTTGTATTTTAGAACTTCCTGGCAGGGGTGGGGTGTGAAGTGAGAATCTCAGTCTGTAGTTTTCCATCCAGCACCCCCACTCAGTGTCTCTCAGGCCCCTCTCAGCCTCCCCTGTGGAGTTCCCCATCGAGAGAAAGCCACAGCAAGGCTCAGTTCTCAGACCCTTTGCCTCTGTTTAACAGAAGCTGGGCTGGGGTCAGCTCTGACAGAGTAGGACGAGGCCCAGCCAGAATGGTTGCCCCGGTGCTCAGCTGAGATGGCATGACCTGCCTTGTGTCTGCCCTGCTCCTGCATGTCAGGCCCGTGTATAGGCCACAGAGCTTACTGAAGAGGGGACAACAAAGTCCACGAGATCACGTGATTGCAGCTATTCATTCCAGAACAAAATACCTAGCCTCTCCATAATGGGAAAAAAGAAAGAATCAGGCCATTTCACTCACTCATTTAAAAATTTTGTTTAGCACCTACAATGTATCAGGCTTTCCGCAAGGACCAGGGATACAGTGGTGAAGAGCAATGGCCCAGCAGTCCTGTCACCTCTCCTGCACCTTGTCAGAGAAAGCTAGCTACCTTGTGTGACCTGGCCCAGGAGTAGAGTTTGATTCTCCCCCCCGCCCCCCCGAAGAGCTGCCTGGCCCCTCCCTGTCTTTCTCTGACTACCTCCAGCCTTAGTCTCATTACCCTAACTTTGAGCCCTGCCTTACTCAAGTCCACCCCAAACCTTGCAGCCCCTAACCCTCATTGGGTATTCAGACCAATTGGTAAACTTCTGGAGGCCAAAGACCCCCATCTTTGCAAAAGGTAAGATCCTGGAAAGTCTAGCTAAGACCGGGCTGTTTCCATCCTGGGAAGGTCCAGAATCAGAATGCAATGTGGTGAGATGAATCATTTACCTCACTGCAGTGAGAACCACTGGACCCCACAGAATGTCCTCCTGGTCACATCACCTCCTAACCCCACCCATGCCTTTAGAGGACCTTGAATGAAACCTATTTCCTGAGCATCTAACTCTGGCTAGGCACTTCACACATTAGCTCATTTCATCCCTTAAGAACCTTGAAATGTGGGAATGATTAACCCGTTTTTACAGATGAAAAAACTGGGGTAAATGGAAGCTAAGTAATTTGTCCCAAGGCCATGCACTAGTAAATGATGAAGCTGGGATTCCAACCTGGGCCTCTCGACTCCAAAAGTCTATGCTCCTCTCACTGCAGCAAACTGTTTCCCGGACCAACACTATCTAAGGGCAGGAGTCTCACTCCACAATTCTCTGTTTCTGCCTCTAGCATTTAATACAGTGCTGCTGCAGAGTCGTTCCCCTACCCTGTGTTTATTGGATGGATGGATGGATGGATGGATGGATGGATGCAACTTGAGGGAAAAAAATCTGAGTCTTCCCTTTTATGGGAAGGCATTGTTCACCGAACCAGGGGTAGACTGGAGCCTGGAGGACTCAGGTCCTACTTCTCTCAGACAACACTGCTGTACTGAGCGGAGCCCTTGGGCCACAGAATGCAGGGTTATTTTGGGGCCACCTCTCCCTTGCTTCCTAGCAAAAATGTTTAACTCAGTAAATGTGTAGCCTCCTTCCTGGAGCCCAGTGCAACCTAATGTCTGGGGCTGGGGAAACTAGGGGACATCAAGGATGTCTCTGAACTCTTCCTGGGGTTTTCTGTTACACTGACAACCCAATGTGGCGGGGTTGGAGACGTGGGAAATAGGATGGATTTGCCTGAATGTGTCCCCAGGGCAGTTGTCCCTATACCCTCCACTAGACTCCGATGACACTGTGATGTAAGTAGTACTATTCCCATGTCATAGAGGAGGAAACTAAGGATCAGAGAGGTTAACTTGCCCGGTCACACAGCTAGTAAGAGGGCCAGGATCCAAGCCAGGTCTGCAAGCCTCTGTAAAGGAGCGTGTCTGGCTGACTGTGGCATCTCTGAATTTGTGCACATGTACACATTTATCTGAGGATAATGAGGGACCATGTGTGCATGCACATGTATGGATCTGAGAGCTGGGTATACATGTGTGCAAGATCTGAGACATGAGGTCTGTGGCCCCAAAGCAGCATGGTGGGCTCGGAGCCTAGCAAGTTGCTTATCTGCCACCATGAGCTGTGGTTTGTGACTCCCCAGTTACCCATGCCCTGCCCCATCCATTCAGCCATCACTCGACCCAAGGCTCTCCTTGCCTGCCTTTCTTCTCTAACAGGTGTGCCCTCTAGACAGAGAGGGTTTCCTTCCTTTTGTGTCTTCTTCCTTTGGGAGCTGCATGATCTGGTACCTGCCCTTCCAGGCAGGGAAAGCAGATGGGACCGACAACAGCCGCCTCCACCAGCACCACTGGCACCATCTCTTCCACTCTGTTGGCTAAAGCAAGTCCAGGTACTCCTGCTCCCTTTCCCCAACCCTGAGCCAAGCCAGCAGCATTTTTCACATCTCCACCTGTCAGCCCCCGGGGCTATTGGAACATCTCCCTCTCACCCATCCCGCCAGTTGGCACCATGACCAATGTCCTCCATACTTTTTGGCACCAAGCGACTGAAAGGGCTCTCACACCCCTTACCTCACTTGAGCCCTACAATAAACCTGTGTGTACGGGGGTGTGGACAGTATTATCTTCGCCTGAAGACGAAGAACCTGAATTTCAAGTAACTTTCACAAAGACCCACAGCAAATTAGCAGTAGGTCAGGTCTAGAACCATATCTCCTGATTCTTACACCAGTGGGTGATTTTCACACTATATTCTACTGTGAATGAATCTCTTAAGTATGACTCACCATCACTGACCTGCCTACGTACTTCCTAGGCTCAGCAGATTCTTGCAACTTTGATCAGACAGATAGATAGAGGGACAGAAATTACATCCTTAGAACGCCTCCCAGGCCATCTAGCCTGTCGCCAGGTTCCTTCCCTTACCTGTTATTCTTCCTCACTGCTCATTGCTCTTTTCTTTCATAGCATCTGTCACGATTTGTTGGTAAGAAATTATGTCTGTTTTGGCTCACATGTGTATTGAGGATATCATAGCTCCACAGCTCCACACAATAGATGTCTGGGAAATATTGTCATGTGGACGGGAATGCCAGGTATGTGATATCTTAAGTTCAGTGTGCTTCTCTAGTAGATTTATTTCTCCCATCTGAGACCTGTGATTGAGCCTGGCACACTGGGGATGCCAACCAGTCATTCTCCAGGAAGGAGCAGCCAAGGCCAATGCACAGTAGACCGCTATCAATAATGTTTATGAACTCTTCTAACAACAGAAAAAAAAATCAAAAATGGAAGATTGGCAAAGATTTCAGTGCATTTTCCCACTAACTGACGTGTAATTAACTAAGAAAATCTCCCAGGGAACCCCGTGGGTCCTTAGGCTGCAGCTCTGAGAATCACGGGCCACACACCCAGAACAGCACCAGAAGAACCATCTGAATAGAGGTGGGGACGCAGGCAGACACCTAAGCCTAAACATGGAGAGAACTGCAGTTGTGTGTAGGTTCAGCCACTTCTAAAACACACACAGCAGCAGCCAGAGATATGTGCGCCCCAGCTCCATGCCACCCACTTACAGGTCAGGCTGCAGAGACACACTTGTGGGATCATCTGGGGCCAGGGCCATGCCCATCGATCCCCCCAGGATGGGCTTTGCCTTCTGCCTGCATCCTCTTTGCAGCCTAACCCTAAGAGCTCACCTCTGCAGCTCAGAGCTGTGATCGTGACCATGCCACCCCCTCGTGGCCACATCTAGTGGTGACAGAATCAGGTGTCTGCAATCCTCAGAAGAGTGAGGCAGTGCCCAGGAAGCAGGGTCCCTCTGCTGGCTGAGCCAGGGCAGTGTCCTCCTCTGCCAAGGCTCACTGTACCTGCCGCCTTAGGCCTGCAAAATCACCAGGCCTTGGTGGGCACACGCAGACACCATTTTGGCAAGTGGGGACAGACAAGAACACAGCAAAGGAAGAGTGGGCAGGAAGAAGCTGCAACCAGTCACTCCTCTTTTTTCCTTTAGGCAGGGCTCAGGTCTCCTTCATTCTTCCCTCAACTTCCTGTCCTACTTCACAGAGCAAAGGAGGAGGGCAGGGCCTCTGGGGAAAGTGAGGACAGAGGTATGTCAGCCTCCTCCGGTTCAAATGTCTGATAATGGAGTGTCTCAGCATGGCCTCATCACCCTCCTGCCCCAGCAATCACCTCTGCTGCCTGGTCCACAAAGAGAACGCAATGAGGGAAGGCCAGACAGGGAGGCAGCGTCCTAAAGCCACAACTTTAAAGTGGGAGGTGGTCAAGGCAGCGTGGCAGAGGGGCAGAAACGAGATGGAACTGCTAGCAGTCAGTGGGAAGAGCATGGATTTAATGGAATGCCGGGCAAAAGGACCCGGAGAGCAACAACGCTCCACCCCCACCCCACCAGCAGCCGTCTCCCAGCTTCCCAAGGCCCGTCTCAAAGAGATGCTCTTGAGACTGGCATCCCACGTCTGTCCAGATCACCCCTGCAGCAGGGAGGCTGGGGAGGGAGGCCCCCACCTCAGAAGGCAGATCCAAAATATCCCCTTTTTTCTTATCTGCCCAGGTGGGGGGCAGAGAAGCTCACTGGGGCAACCTCTGCCCTCTCCCCGCTGCAGCTGTCCCCACAGCCAGGCTCACAGGCACCATCCAAGGGCCTGTCCCCCTAGCAGTGAGACTCTAGTTCTGTGAATCTGAGAAATGATGTCCTGGGTGTAGCAGGAAGGGGAAGTCCTGCTTGGTTCCGTTCGGGCAGGTCCTCAGCTGGGCACACGAGCTGGCGGATTCTCTGCGAGGAGAGGGGAGGTGCCTGTCACACAGAGGAGTGGGGGCAGGTCTGCCAGCTTCCCTCCTCGTCAGTGTCTGCCTGCCTCCCCATACACAAGCCTGCCCTCTATGTGCCAACCCTATACTCACAGGCTGTGTCTTGGAGTTGCCCAGTGTCTTTCTGAGACTTCTGTCCTGATACCCACACCAGGCTCACTGGCCCTCTGTGCACAGCCTCCACACTGGCAGGCAACCCACCTACCATCAAGAGGACGCTACCTCATCCAGCCAGGTTCCTGCCCCCTCTGCTTTCTTCCCTACTAACTTCCTACCTCTCTGAAGGGGCCCTTGAGGGTGCTGAGTTTGTAGAAGCTCCAGGCAGGAATGCAGACCATGGAGGACAGAGCCAGGACCCAGCCCAGGGCATCACCCCACCATGGGTATGTGTACTTCTTGTTATAGGTCAGCGGAGTATACTTGATCAGGGAGAAGAGGAAGGTGGCCTGGGGGTGAGAGCAGAAAAGAAAGGGTTTGGGGAGCAGGAACCCTGTGCCCCCAGTGCCTGACCCCCCACCCCCCGCAAAGGCTGACCTGGTAGAGATCACGCTCCAAGCCTGGATTTGCCTCCAGGCTCATCTGGGCCAATCAGCCTCCAATCTCCATCAACATTCTGCTCAAGATCCACACCGCCCAGTCGGTGTTTCCAGGGAACATACCTTGTCATGCAGGGGCCCCTGTGCCCCCAGGTACCTCTACACATGATGGGCTCCCAATTAGGACATGATGGTATGCCTGCTGTGTGCTCTAAGGTGTTTACATTGCCTGCACCATGAGTTTGGGCTGTGAGTACCTCAAGGGTAGGGAATCATGCCTCCTTCTCTCCCTATGCCTCATTTATGTCCTGCACATGGTGGGGGCTTGGGGAACTGGTGACACAAAGAGATCAAGCCAGAGGAAGCGGGACATGGTGGTTTTAAGGCCCAGACTACGGAGCCAGGTTGCCTGGGTTTGAATCCTAGCTCTGTGCAACTTTGCAGCTTGGGTAAATTGCTTTACCTTTTCAGCTTCAGTTTTGTCTGTAAAGTGAGTATAATGGCAACACTCACCTTATGGGGTTCTTGTGAGGATTAAATAAGCTAATATGTGTAAAGCACTCTGTGCCCAGCACAAAGTAAGTGCTCTGCAACTGTGGCTGTTACTGCTGTGGTTATTAGTATTACTACAAGCAGCTCAGTGCACATGGGTTTCAGCCCTGCCTGCAATATAGACTCACACTGTGGTGTTGGTAAAACTGTCTGACAGCTCTGGACCTCGGTTTATCCTCCTGTGAAATGGAAAGGAAGAATCTACCTTGCTGTATAGTTTTCTAGAATCCAACAGGAAGATAAGTCGAACTCGTAGAGAGTTTTCAGTTCCTGGAGAGAAGTCCATTCTAGGGCTGACGGCCTCTCTACGCTGCTGCCACGACCACCTCTCCCTCCCTTCGTCTGGCTTTACCCATTGAAGATGATCTTACTGTGCACACAGCTGGTGTGAGGAAGAGCCAACAATATTTGATAAGAGGCCATGGCCTGTACCCAATCATATCCTCAATGTTGTCATAAAAGCGCCTGGCTCCTGCCATGGAGAAAAGAAGAAGGAAGGGGGAGAAAGGACATTCATTAGCATCCACAGCATGAGGATGGGGCCACACAGACTAGGACAGGCAAGGACCAATGGAGAGAAGGTATCGCAGTTGTGTTTTCAGATTACTGCTGGGAGGAAAATCTTCCCCAGGATTCATAGGCATGAGCAGCAGCAGGCAGGACTTGGCAACGACTTCCTGATCATCAAGGTTGTTAAAAGCAGAAAAGGTCTGGGTAGGGCAGGATACGGGTCCACCTGAGGTGGTCCAGGTGCAGCTATAACCAGGAGACGGACAAGGCAACTTCTGGAGCGCCCGTCCCATAGCAGCAATTCAGGACTCTTGAGGTTTTTGAGGTTGGGTAGAGGAGGAGTTCCAGGAAAAGGTAGGTGTGAATAGTAGATATCTCTCTTTTGTCTAAGGCCCGTGGGGTGGAAGAGAGTACTGGGGTCGGGACCTAATGGAGGAGTCACTCACCATAAACCCAAGCCACACAGAGGGACTCAAAGATGGCCACAAACAGGAGGCACATGCCACTGGCTGCATAGTAGTCAAAGAGCTGGAACACGTACATACCACCCTGTGTGGAAGGAGGTTATTCAAAAAATAAATTTATCCAGAGGAAATAGACAGATATATTCCTATACCCTCTAGCCTCACACCCCTGGGGCACAGAGTGGAGTTGGTGACAGCCACAGGAGACAGATAATATGAGAGAATGTAGTTTATAACCTGTAAAACAATAGGCAGATATGAGAGACAATTATTTTTTATTATTGTTTTTGGAGGGAAGATAGATAAAACAAGACAGCTATTGTTAGATTATCCCTGAGAACATTTAGGAATTGATCCAGAAGCCCAAGATGGAGTGTGCACATTTGGGGCAGGATCAGGATAGGGGCTGTCATTGGTATTATCAAGCTGGAAAGCTCTGTCTCCCTCCTTCCTTGAGACATCACAGAATGCCACCTGCCCCCAGGCCCCCTTCTCCCTCTGAAGTTTGCACACAGAGAAATCATGGGACCTTGTTGGAGAGCAGTTTTTCCCAATCCAAGGCTTCCCAACTGTTCTTTTCATACATCTTTACTGACCGTGGAGCCAAATATACCCCTCACCCATCCCCAGAGGTAGGTGGCCAATGGCCAGAGGCCCCTACTTCGTCCTTTCTGTGGTGGGAGGCGAGGGAGCTCCAGTGCCCTGAAGCCCGGCAGGTCCACCCTGTGATCTGTGACCACAGCAGTCTGCCCCACCTGAAAGGCAGCAGTTTCCACCTGGCTCTGGGTCCTCACCGGGTCCTTCCCTTTCAGCCTCCCAGACTCTCACCTCTGTGAGCATGACCAGCCCAACAAGAAAGGAGATGACAGACACTCCAAGGATGAGCATCTCCCTCCGGTTCTTCTTGCGGAACACATGGGGGTACATGTCCACCAGCGCTGTCACCAGGCTTTCTACGCACACAAACTAGAAGAGAGGGCAAAAGAATTGGAGGGAAAGAGAGTTCCCAAAACAAGCCCTGTCAATAAGCTCTGGCTTCTTGCTGCTAGGGTCAGCCCTGCCAGCCTCCCTGTCTCAAGTCCCCAGAGCTGCTGTCCTTGTGTGGTTAGGTCTAGACCCACCCTTCAATCTCCTCTGGGTCCCCGGAGGGCATCCATTTCTGATATTCACCCAGTTCCCAACTATTTTGAGGTCCCTTGGGGCTTAAAGCTCAACCTCATGCCCTCTGCTCCCCTTCCCCAGCCCACGCCCACCCAATTCATCTCCCAGGCTCTGAGTGGCTGCCTCTTGATACCTGACTATCCAGCCCCAGGAGAACGACCATGCAGAAGAAACAGCAGGCCCAGAGGGGAGAGAAGGGCAGCATCACCACGGCCCGAGGGTAGGCGATGAAAGCCAGACCAGGACCTACAGCAAAGAGCAGAGGACACAACCCAGGGCTCGGGCCAGGTGTGGGCCGTGTGCAGTCCCAGGGCTCCGCAGGGTAGGGCCATGCAACAACAGGAGCTAGAGAAAACTTCACCCCAAAGTTACCGTCCCCATCACTGCCCTCACCCAGGAGAAGCCACCCAAACCTCTATCTGGTTCCCAAATTTCCAAGGCACCAGCTGCTGCATCCTCACTGGCAAGAACAGAGCTAAGAGCTTGGAGATATAAAGGGTTTGGGATCTAAAAGAGCTCTGGACTTCCAGATCTAGTGCCCCAAATCAGAGGTTTCAAATTTAGAATGAGCTCAAGAGCCAGCGGGCCATAATGATTTGTAAAGCTGACCTGGTGTCAAACAAGAAGTGGTAGGACCCGATGAGAACTTTGTTGTTTGTAAAGTAGATGGTACCAAAGAAAATGCCTTCAAGGCCAGATTTGGCCTGGGACCTCCGGTATGCTACCTCTGCACCTGGTGTCTGTTCTGACACCCTACAATGAGTGCACTGGCATTAATTTCAGAATATCATTGACACACATCCTCTCAAATAAATGAATGTTCCTCTCAGCTGACTCAAACAGCAGGAACAAACTCACATGCCAGAGCCTGGGTCTATCCATAGGAAGCTTCCTGTGAAAAATAAAGAGTGTCACTGTGACCTTGGGCGGTCATTTAGTTCTTCAAGTCCCATTTCCCACACTGGGGAGATGGGGATAATACTAGTAACTGCCTCCCAGATTTACACTACATAGTACAGGCAAAATGCTTCACACGGTGCTTGGCATACAGTGATTGCTCAATAAAAATGAGACATTACCATTTTTAATGGAATCGGTGATGTCAGTTGCCCAGTGCTGAGCATCTGTGTACCAGGAGTGTGCTTGTGAATACCATGATAAAAAATGGTCCTGCTGCAGATGAACGTGGGTGGGCCGCAAGAATTGGGGAGAGCGAGAGGAACATCACACAGCTTATGCAGACAGGAAACAAGTCTTTGATTTTATTTAAAAACAACAAAACACTGCAGGGTAAAAAGGCAATCACTCCCCAAAAGAGGAAACTCTATGTGCTGATATGAACTTATCTTTGAGACACACTTTAAAGTGAATAAAATAGGGCAAGGTGCAGAAAAGCCTATGTAGTACGTTATCACTGGTTTATAAAAGGAGGGTTCCAGAGAGTTTTCCGTCAGCTGGAGCCAGTCCTGCCCAGGCTTCCATACCCAGCTGAGCATGCTGTGCTCTCCAAACACAGAGCACACCACTCACAACAGCGGCTCAGCATTCCAGGAGGACCAGCTCTTCCTAAATAACAGCTGCCTCTTGAAGTGTTTTATGTAAAGCTATACTAACAATAAAGTGCTTGTGATGGTTAAGAAAAGGGAGGGAGGTAAAAATAGAAATAGTAATATGTATATATGTATGTGTGTGTGTGTATATATATATTTTTTTTTCTCATATATGCCTAAACTATTTCTAGAAGGATTAATGTGAAATTGATAACATTGGCTATCTCCAGGGTAAAGAACTGGAAGCCAGGGGTGAGAAGAAAAATATTAATTGTATTCTCATTTATTCTCCGAAGCTGTGATTACTGTTCAGATTCTCCCCCAAGTCTTTCCAGAACACATCTATTGAAAGGTAACCATGTTCACCCAGAGCGTGATCACAAACGCCTCTGGATTCCGGCTGCCAAAAATTCAAACCAGGCTCACAGAATTCACTGCCCTCAGCCCCCCCCCCCCCCCCCCCCCCCCCCCCCCCCCCCAGCAGTTTCTCATATATGCCTAAACTATTTCTAGAAGGATTAATGTGAAATTGATAACATTGGCTATCTCCAGGGTAAAGAACTGGAAGCCAGGGGTGAGAAGAAAAATATTAATTGTATTCTCATTTATTCTCCGAAGCTGTGATTACTGTTCAGATTCTCCCCCAAGTCTTTCCAGAACACATCTATTGAAAGGTAACCATGTTCACCCAGAGCGTGATCACAAACGCCTCTGGATTCCGGCTGCCAAAAATTCAAACCAGGCTCACAGAATTCACTGCCCCCAGCCCCCCCCCCCGCCCCCAGCCACACTCACCTGACTCAGCTACCTCTGAAATGGGCACCCCCTGCTCCTGAGACATGAAGCCCAGGATAGAGAAGATGGCAAACCCAGCCACAAAGCTGGTGCCGCTGTTGAGGAAGCAGAGGGCAACACAGTCCCTGTGGGGAAAGGGTGGAAACAGACTGGGTCAGAAGGGCTGCCCAAGTCTCAGGCTCTCATCCCGGAGCCAACGGGACCCTCTGGGGAGCACAGCCCCTTGCTGCGGACACTCTTCGGCCCTTCACAGAGGCCGGAGGGGTGTGAGCTGGTGGGATTCAGTGTTGCTCCTGCCTCAGCACCTCCACCCCCACTCGCTCAGACATGGAATGAATCAAGGTAGTCCTAAAAGAATGAGACTCGGGAAGTAAAACATTAATCTAAATATTACAAACTGCCCCACAGCCTGCCTTCCCTGCCACATTGCTGCCACACATCATAAGACACTACCACTCTGCCATAATTCCACTTGACATGCTAATGTAGGGCATATGGACAAAGATAATCCCCAACAAGTCATCTTAGTCACCTAAATCTGATTTTGAAATGCATGATATGATTTTTTTCCACTATATTTCAGCTAATGTTAAAACTGCCTTAGATTCTCTGAGCATGAGCCAGGTAAGCAGGAGGGACCAATGGGGTGGGGGCCTGAGGGAGGTACGCCTGGGAGCTGAAGGGAAAGCGGGCAAGGATCCAGTGCTCGCCAGGGCAGGTTTGCTAAGCAGGCAAGACAGAGGCTCCGCTGCAAGGCATTACTGACCACTTCCCAGGCTCGCTTGCTGTCTCCCAGCCAATCAAAACTATGCCACCCTTTCAGAAGTGATTCCCCTGCCTGTCCCGCAGTTGGTTCCTTTCAGGTCCTGGTAGCCCTGGGGTATTGGAAAGTGGGGTACAGACAGAGCAAACCCATGAGCTGACGCACCCTACAACTCACCCCTGGTCCAGCATGGCTGGAGGGACAGTAGGAGATGAAGGTGTGTGGCTCAGGCCCACTCCCCCAATCACCTGTAGCAGTTGTTGTGATACTTGTTGTAGCTTCCCAGAGCTGTCAGGCACCCTATACAGATGGCGAAGGAGAAGAAGATCTGGGTGCCCGCGTCCATCCACACCTACAAAGGGAAAAGGCAAGAAAGCTGGACTCTAGGAAAGTGAGGCCAGCTGGGCCTCCATGGGAGGACACACGTGTGTGGCTGAGCCAGGCAGTGGCTGAGCATGGTGAGAAACCTGTTCTCAGCCAATGCAGGCACCCCCTGCCACCCTCGCTACACCCAGTGGGCTCCACTCCCTGGGCGCCTAGATGAAGTTTCTTGGGCACTACCAAGATGGAACAAGCATTAGGCATTCAAAGAGAAAGACTAAAGGACCCATGGTGGAGGGTGGGATGGTGCGCTAGGGCAAAGCTAGGTCTGCTGTTGAGTTTCTGATCATGGGTTCTGCCCCACTGTCTCCTATCCTAGGCTCTCATGGTGGTGTGACTGGTGGGAAGGGATGCAGACGCAGGACCTCTAGAGCTGTGGGCCCTTAGCATCAGGGCCATCATGAGCATGTAGCTTTGCCCCTCACATCTCAGAACCCTCTAAATGAAAAACAGAGTAATCCTCATCTCACAAAAAGCCAAGAGGATGGGGCCGGCCCGGTGGCGCACTGCTACAGTGCGCCACTTGGGAGCGTGGCGGCGCTCCCGCCGAGGGTTCGGATCCCACATACAGACCGGCGGCTCACTGGCTGAGCGAGGTGCGGGCGCGACACCGAGGGTTGCGATCCGTTGCCGGTCACGAAAAGAGACAAAAAGGAAAAAAAAAAAAAAGCCAAGAGGATGAACAGAAATGCATCTGTAAAGGGCTTTGTACTCATTGAGGGGAAAACAACTCTCCAGCTAAACATAAGGTAGAGATGTTACTGCTATTATCTCAGCTGGCTGACCTGGCCTGTGCATGTTATGATTTAGATTTAACAGCTAAAATAACATCCCAAAGAGAAAGAACATCAAGGCAAAAGGACTAAGCAACCCTGCAGGCCTGCAGGAGGTGGGGTCCTGTGGCTACAGACCCTCCCCGGCACTCCTGCCTCCAGAGGACGTGAGCACCACAAGGGGGACCAGGCAGTGGACAGAAACATCGCCAAGGCGGTGCTCCTCACATGCATGTGTTCCTGACAGAGACGGCACTGGACAACCCCATCCGTGCCTTTCATGCAGCCCTGTCCCACAGCCTCCAACAGGCTCCTGCTTTCCATAAAACCCTCCGGCCTTTCATCATTTCCTTCCACAAACATCAGGCCTCCAATTCCCCTCCTCACCAGAGCCTTGGCTTCTTTCTATCCAAAGCTCTTCAGTCCCTTCCCTGTCTTGGCCTGCCTCCCCAGCCATCGCCACCCCTCTCAGCCCCTACCCCAACTCACTCTGATCACACTCACCCCTACCAAAGTGCCCATTTGCCTCACACGTAGGGGTCCGAAGGCCCCATCAGCAGGCTGACTACCTCCGAATCACACTGATGCCTCGGCTGGCATCCCCAGTCGGGACACTGGATCCCCAGCCTGAAGGAGAACCCAGAGAGTGAATCATGTTCAAAGCTTCCTGGGTGATCCCAACGAACAGACAGGGTCATCTCCCTACAGCCCTGAGAACTGGCCCCAGGGACACACCCACGACACCCATCCTCTTGCTATATTTCCATTTCTGCGGGACTGGGGACAGAGCAGGGAAGGATGGTGAGGAAAGGGGAGAAGGTCTCTAGCCTTCTGTCCCTTCTGCTGACTGGGAAGCCCACCCCCAGGTGTTCTGCCAGACAGGAGTTGTCACCAGGGAAAGGGTCAGCCGCAAAAAGCACCAGGAAATAGCATGGGAGGTCAGAAGCACCAAACTTTTTCAAACATGAGGAAAAGTAAGGGGGGTACGGGATTTATGTCCAGAAGCCAGAGAAGGAAAGGACAGGAACCGCGGGCTTGCACAGCTCAGGGTGGTGCCACACCAAGTTCAAGGAGATGCCTTGGCCAGTCTGTTTGCTCCTTCAAAATGTTCAAATCCTTTTCTCTTCTAAAACTCAGCCCTCAGATCCTGTGAGGGTTGTCATCTCAGGAAAACACAGTGACCTTTGGCATCTCATTCCTGTAGGTTGTCGGCAGCTTCAAGAGCGGGGTCCTGCTCGGACAGAGGGGCTAAGCCAGGGCCAGAGGTGAAAGGGCTGGAGAGTCCTATCTCCTGGGGCTCTCAGGCACGTCCCCTGCGTTTGCTCTGTGCCGACAGTGCACAAGCTGCTCTGAGACACTCTGTGGCTGCCTACTTTCAGGCAGGGGCGCAGTCCTGTGATGATGGCATTTTGTGAACTTGGGCTTGGGAAGAAATAAGAAAAGAAATCATGACTTGGCTGCTTACTGTGCCCCAGTGGGAGTGAGAGGTGGAGGTGGGCAGACTAAGATTGAGGCAGGAGAGATTCATGAGAACCGATAAAACTGCAGCGGGCAGCTGGAAGTCCAGAGCTCGAGTCAGATGCGGTGCCATTGACCAAAGCCCCTCGCTGGGATCTTGGCAAGCCCCTGCTCCCCACACAGCTGCTGCCTGACAAGCCTGCTGCGTTAGGGGAAAGGAACGGGTCAGAAGGGCAACGAAAGGAACAAGGAAAGCAAGCTGTTCTGTCCCCACCACAGGCAACCCACTCCCTGCCCCTTCCAGCAACCCTGGCACAAACAAAGCTCCGTCTAGAACAAAGCTCTGACATGTCTTTGGCTAGGGCAGAAGACTGGCTAAGGAAAAACAAATGTGAAAAACACTTGGAGTGTGGGTGAAAAGAGGCCTTCTGGAGGAGAGAGGAAGAGGGAGAGAGACCTATAGAAGATGCAGGAAAGGTGTTCTCAACCTTGAGTCCGCCCCCCAGGATTACTAACAGCTATCTGCTATTCATAGGAAGGCAGTGGTGTATAATAGAAAAAGCAGGAGCTTTGGAATCCATTTGATCTGGGCTCAGTTCCTAACTCTATTAATTACTGGATGGGTGATCTTAAGCAAGTCTCTGAACAGTTCTGAACCTCCTTTTTCTCATTAGGATATGCGTACAATAACAAATAAAATAATGTATGTGAAATGCCTAACACATAAATAAATATCAGCTTCCTATCCCACCTTCTGGAATAATAAAAAGCAGCCCTTAAAACCCTCAAATAATTCATATCCTTTAGAAAAGATCTATCATGGAAATTAAGACAGCAGACACGAAAAAACTACTAGGGAAGAAACCCAAGCTCCTCCATAGGCTCATTTTGTGATTCTGGGCAAATTTCTTAAGTTTTCTAAGCTTCTGCCCCTGCGTCTGTAAGATGGCATAACACCTGACTCGCAGGGTTAGTGTGAGGATTAAGCTGTGTCAAGAACTCGGTAAAGCACCTGGCAAATGATAAGCACGTAATAAACATTAGTTTTTGCTGCTGTTTGTTCCTATTATTTTAAAAAACAACTAACCTTTCAGTGATAAAGTGGTGACTTTCATTTTAATATATATGCTAAAATAAAAAGACTAGTCCTAATCAAGGGTTTCCGCTTCCTCCCTGAACAAACCCTTCATTAGGATTGCCTGACATAGGGAGTTAAAAGATTAAACAGGGGCTCTTTGGACCCCCTACTCCCATCCCCCTGCCTTTATTGATCTACCGAAGTGCAGTAGGATAGACAAAGGGTCAGGACAAGGGAAAGAAACAAGCGCCTGAATAAAGCACACTCTGTACAGGAGAGGCCTCAGTCTCCAGGGGCCATTCCCCAGTGGGAAAGAGATGAGCCTTGGGAACACCAGGAAAGGCAGCACTCTGCCCAACACACAGCAGGCCTGGCAGAAGAGGAGGAGGAAACAATAAACAAACACAGCGTCATCTGCCTGGCTCCCAGCTCCCAGCCTCAGTGCTTGGCAGAGAGAGATGTCTTTGGTCTACGTGTTGGCTAGCAGGAATTTTGCACCTTTCTCAAGTGCCAGGGAAATGCCAGTGGGAATTATCACACTTCCTGGGGAATGCCAACTAGATTCAATTAGGGCCTTGGCAGGGCATCCCACCCTGTAGGTGCTGCTCTATTTCCTGACAACAAAGTCGTAGCTTCGGCATGGGACCAGGACCAGGCAGATAACAGGGCTGCTCAGAAGCTCAGGACCAGAACCAGCTCTTGAAACATCTCTCTCCCCACAGCCTCAAAGCATTTGGAAGACATATGCTCCTTGCACAGCCTACAGCTGGCTGGAGTTGGAAGGAAGGTACCCTGGAGTGCAGATTAAAAGAGGTCTTATTCCTTGCAGTAACCCAGACACAGAATTATGGCTGTATTAACTCTCAGAGTTGAAGGCTATCCCTGGTCCACCACCTTCATATGTGCTTGAAGCTGTTATACACCAAGCGCTGCACCTAGAACAGGCTTGGCACGTAACAGATGCTCAGCAGATTTTTGCTGAATGACTTAGATGTGGGCGAAACAAAGATGAGCAGACAGGGACCTTGTCTTCAAGAGGAGATCATAAAGTATGTGGGAATTGTCATCGTTCAGACCTGGTTCCAGTTGCAAGTATGAGGATGGAAGATTCTTTAAGCTCTCTAGGCCTGATTTTCTTATCTGTAAAATGGAGCTACCTCATTAACTTGCTGTGAGGATTAGCTGAAATAACGCAGTAAATCTCTTAACTGTGCGCAGAACATAGTAAACACTCACCAGTTGTTAGCTATAAATAGCTGATCAGGACAAAGCCATAAATCAGTTCTGGAAATACTGGAACCCACTGTCCTTTTTCTCTTTCAGCCTACCTGCCTATCTCCCTGCCTGAACATGTCTTCTTCCTATCAGGCCCACCTGCTAACAAAGGTGAGCTTTGTAGCTTAGCCACTGGTTTGCAGCTCTGCTGCTCCAGAAGCACAACGGCTCCAATTGGGCCAATGGGGGATCCAAGCCAAACTCTTTCAGCTGGCTTCGAAGCCTTGCCTCAACTCAACTGCTCCCCACAACATCCAGCTTGTTACCTACTCTCCACCACAGCCTTTTTGTTCCAGATGAGTCAAGGGGCTTACAATTCACAAAACAAAAATACCCCTCTCCTGGCCTGCCACTTACTTGATGTGTGACCTTGGGCCACAGTTTGCTCATCTGTGCAATGAGGAGGTTGCCCTAGATGACCTCTCAGGTCCTTTAGCTTCAATAGCTCTGGTTCTACAGTTTGGCTCTAAGGCCTGACTGCAGCCCTCGTGCCCTGCAGGGAAATGAGGCAGAAGCAATCTGTATTTCTATGATGTCTAGGAAATGGGGGTGGGGAAGGGTAAACTCATATCCACCAGAAGATCACGGAGAAAGACCCAGGACCAAGGCTACCTGACTCCACAGGGAAGTGTCTGGCTGCCACAGAGGTCCCAGTAGACCTCAGGAGAGAAGGACTCATAGCTCTGCCAGGGGAGAGTTCTGTTCTGGGAGACGAGAACAGCTCAGCTTCTGGGTCACCACAAGTTCTGCACAGGAGGGGCCATCACCTCCGTGTGAACTGAGTTCCAGGTCTCAGAGGGAACCCTGGAACCGTGTGCGCACCCCTCCTCTCCTGCTCCCTCACAGCAATTTCAGTGGACGTGCTAGTGCCTTCCTATTTTTAAGTGTTTGGAAATCCAATTGTTGGTCTTCTATGTGTCGGGAGCTGCCACCCTTAAGTCTCCTAGGGGTTCCTTCCACAGACAGAGAGCCTCCTCCAACCACCAAGAGGAGGATCTCTAAACTGTGCACATGCTCCCCAGGGAGGGTGACCTCTGTGCCAAGGAGGCAGAGGCACGGCACGTAACTGGGTAACAAACTTTCAGGGGCTCTGGGGTGGAGCTTACCCACGCTCCCCTCCGGCCCTCCACACCTCCTGGCTTTGCCAGCTTTCAAAATGGCTGCCAAAGAGGAGAAAATAAGAAACCTGTCAGAGGTAGGGGCTTCTTATTCCAGGCCTTGCCTTACAAACCCCTCCAATCAGCAAGCAGTACTGTCCTACCCCCACCCCCACCCCGCCACCCCAGGGCCATAAAGAAGCTGGCTGCAGCAGAGGGAGTGCGGATCAGATCGCCAGGGGAGGGAAGGAGACAGGGAGCCTCTTGACAACAACAGGAAACTCAACGCTAGCCCACCTGGTTCAGGGAGGGGGCTGGGGAATGGGGGCCTAGTAATGGGTCACGTGGGCAGCAGGGGTGGGGGAGGGAGGGGGGTTCCAGAGGGTGGCAGGTAGAAGGGTAAGAACCAGAGAGGAAGCTCATTAGGAAATGAGACAGATAAGAGCAAATGCAAAAAGGGGATTGCTAAATGGTGGGGGAAAGATGCAGCCCATCAAAAGAGGCTGCTAGTGACACATTTGCAGCCCCTGGAAACATTGCTAGGGCCTCAGGCCCTCTGGGTTCCCTGGCATGCAGCTGTGAACCAAGGAGGGAGTGTCAGACACCTTCTGACCACAAGCAGCTGCTAACAGATGTCTGGAGAAGGAAGGGGCACCCACCACCACCACCGTGGATGCCCTGGGGTTGGGCCAGGAGTACAAATTCCCCACAGAGCACAGGGAAAGCCCATAGCTCAAGCACCTCCAGAGCCATGTGATGGGCCACGTCTGTGGCTCCTTACCTGGGGATCCCACAGACGGGTGAGGTTTGGATACAGGTAAAACTGAATTCCTTGGGCTGCCCCAGGCAGCGTCACCCCTCGAATTAACAGGACCACCAGCATGAGGTAGGGGAATGTGGCTGTGAAGTACACCACCTGGCCAGGGGTAGATGAGAAGCAAGGAACTTGTGAGTTAGGAAGGAGGGGCCTGGAGACCCAGCATCAGGGGCAGGAGGCAGGAGGCAGGAGTTCCCCACCCCATAGAAGAGGTCAAGGGATTCCCTCTCCTGTTTCCCCCCATTGCTGTCCCATCTCCCCTTCCTTGAGCCACAGCCTCCCCTCTCCCTTCCCCCCTCCAGCTTACAGTGCTCGCCCTCCCGACACATATTCAGTAAATATTTCCTGAGTAACTGAATGAACTTAGTCATTCTCCCAACAAGTATGCTCAGAACTATGGCAATGGCTGTCGGGAATAAAAAGATCTGTCACATGTGATCCCTGTCCTTATGAGCTCAGCACAATCAGGTAGCTGGATTAGGGAAGAAGCCTTGTCAGAGGCTTCCAGGACAAGAATCCAGAAGAAATCACAATGCTCTCTGATACCTCATACGTTCCAGAGCAAAGAGTCCCCCCAAATTCTTGAGTTGGTTAAAAATCACCTTAAAAGAATAGTCTTAATGGAATTCTTTTTCAAAAGAATTATTGTATGAAATAGTGAATGAAGACCTGTGTTCACTTTGCAACATGCCCACACATGGTATATTCCAAGATCAAATTCCTCTGAAGGTGTCCTTTCTGCCTTTCTCTCTCTCTCTCTTCCATTTCATTTCCTTAAATACCAGAAGTATATGGGATTGAAGCCAGGAAAGCCACAGAATCAAGGAAGGGAGCCACATAAAGTCTTTGCTGGGTCATTCCCTCCCATCTCCAACTAGGCCACAACTTAGGGAACTCCTGGGTGACAGCCCCCAGTGAGGGCAGGGAGTCCTGGGGTGGGATTGGGCTCTCCAACACGGACCTTTCCTGTGGACTTGACCCCCTTCCAGATGCAGAAGTAGCAGATGACCCAGGCAAGCAGGAGGCACAGGGCCAGCTCCCAGCGCAGGGCCCCCAGGTGCTGGATGCCATCGGAGATCTTCAGGACCCGCCTCCTGGGAGAGAAGGGTGGAGCCTGACTCCATTTCTGCTGCCAGCTCAGTTTCGCAGCCCGCGCGTCTCGGGCCGTGGAGCCATGCCACCAGGCTCAGTTCACTCAGATCCGTGAGGCCTCCTTTGCCCAGAGATGGATGTGGATATAAAGAGTGGCAAATATAAACTGTTCCTGGGTGAGTTTGCTCTGAGTACTAATTTAACCTGGGGAAGGAGGTGCAAACACATACTTTCTCAGCCAGGGTCTTAGTATGTTTTGATATCAGGAATCATGCCCTGGGTGAATGTTAATATTTCGGGGGGTGGGGTGCATACGAACAAAATACATGCAGCTGAAGAGAGAAGGGCACTTTGGAGTGTGGATACACATGCATGTGCACCAACACAAGGGTGGGCACAGCCTGAAAAGAGCTGCAAAGTCCTCACTTCTCAAACCAGTCCTGCATTAAGCACAAATACAGGCACGACAGAAAAAGCCCTTAGCGAACAGGGCCAGCAGAGAAGAACGTGGAAGTTCTTCCCTTGCTGTCCACTGCAAGCCACCACTGTACCGACCCTCCCCACGCCCTTCTTGTGAGCACATGGCCCACGTGCAGATGAGGAACGGGCCTCACTTACTCCCAGAACTCAATGACAGGGGAGGTGGCATTCTCAGAGGTCACATTCAGGGAGCCATTGGTCTTCTGGAACTCCACACAGTGTTCTACCCGTGGGTCCCCGGGAAGAAAGAAAGAGAAACATCATCAGCCAACGTCTGGCACAACCAGAGAGAAGGAAGTGAAATGTCAGGAGAATGAGAAGGAAGGTATTTGGAAGGAATCGGGCTGGAGCTGGCTGTTTGAAACACCCTTGCACACATAATCATCTCCACAAGCCTACCTCGCCCCTCCCACACACCTTCACATGTGGGGCTATAAGTGTTTGAGTACATATTCTCATTAAAGCATAATCAGATGACATTAGGAAAAAGGCTCTGTATGCCAGCTGCTTCGAAGTATACAAATATTTCTAACTGTCCTGTGTAACGTCACAACTTTTGAGGAATAATAAGATTGCCTTTTAGAGAAGAGATGTAGCAGAGCAGGTACAGGGCAGAGAGCTCTGGCCTGAATCCTGACCCTCTGGGCATTAACTGTGTCACCTTGGGTAAGTTACAACTCCACTGTCTAAGCTTCGTTTCCCTATCTCTAAAATGTAGATAATAATGTCCATTTTGCAGGACTGATAGGAGATTAAATGAAAATATGAACGCACAGTGCTCAATAAATGCTGGCTCTTTATTATCTGCGTATCACTTTGTAGTTTCACAAAGAGTGCTGATGTTCTTTTTTACATCTTATTTGTACAATACTCCTGGGAAATATTAAGACAGAAACTGTTTTCACTATTGCACACACGAAGAAAATCAATCTTCTTACGAATGGCCTGTCACAGCTCATAAATGACCAAGTATGGTCCAGAATCCAGGTCAGCAAATTGTCTAGGTTCTACCTTCAAAAGATCTAGAGTCTGGCCGTTCTCGTTGCCTCCGCTACTAGCACCCTAGCACTGTTTACCATCATCTCACGAATCCTGACTGGCCTCCAGTTTCTACCCTTGCTTCCAGCTGGGGTGATTCTGTTAAACCTTAAGTCACTTTATGTCACACCCCAGCTCATTTCCCATCCTACTCAGAGAAAAAAAGCCAAAACCCCTTCATTCGCCTTCAAGCGCTACTCAGTCTATCCCCCAACACCTCTGACCTCGTTGCCTACCACTTCCCGCAGCCCTCTTTCTGCAGCCACACTGGCCCCTTCTGTTTCCTGGATGCTTCAGGCATGGTGTCACCTCAGGGCATTTGTGCTGGTGTGCCTTCTGCCTGCAGTGTCCCCTGCAGATCATCACTCAAGGGTTATTTCAGTAAGACCTTTCCTGACCACCCTATTTAAAAATACAATCCTCCACCCCTAAAACTCGCGATCCCCCTCCCTGTTTTATTTTTCTCCATAGGACTTCTCACGTGATACATGTTTATTTCATTTATCATCTGTCTCTCCCATGAAAGCTCTGGCGGGGCAGGGATCTTTGTTTTTGTACATTAGCATATTCCTGGTGCTTAGAACAGAGCCTGGCATATAGTAGAAGCTCAACAAATATGTTAAATGATTGATTGCCAGCCGAGTGCCTTTTCCAACAAAATATATCACTTTCTTTTAATCTTCAGCACACCCAAAAAAGTGTTATTTCATCTTGATGGGACAGGTTAGCCCATATTATTCAAGATTCTGGGCCCTGAGTAAAACCAGATTCACCAGGAGAGATGTCAAAAATGTCAAAAACCAAGACTCAGGTATTCAATTTGCCTCAGGATTGTCTCAGAGACCCCAATCAACCCAAAGACAGATAGGCCTAATGATGCCCTGAAGCAGAATCTCTGGACTACCAAATTCACAAAACTTTCTTCAAGAGGAACTCCACTGATATCTGTGTAAAATCTTCACCATCTGACAAACTGGTTGTCAAGGGTGATTTCAAAGCACATAGATGTTTAAAAAAAGAAAAAAGAGAGAGAAGAGAAAGATACATATCATATATATAATAAAAAGAAAATATTAGAATAAAACAGATTATTAAACCTTGATTCATTCAACAAATATTTTTTGAGTGTTTATGATATAGCTAGGCACAAAGGCTATAGAGATAAATATACCTTTTGTGGCTCAAGATCTTGCTGATTGGTGGGAAAACCAAGTCAATACATAGGCAAAAAGTGATATAAGCACACAGGAGGGCCAGGGTCAGGGCAGGTACCACCAGATACGTTTGAGAGGAACCTAATGCAGTCTTGGGGTATCAGGAAAGATACCTCCAAGATCTGACTTTTCACTTGAAAAACGATGGTGGAATGGAGACTAGCAAGAAAATGCCTGGACAGGGAGCATCGAGTATGAGGCGAAAGTGGCAAAGTGGAGGAATAAGACGGCCTGGCCATAAAGGAGTGAAGAATACGGGGCCAAACGCTGCAACATGTTTTCCCTGGCAAGCAAGGGATTCAAACTCTAGTCCAGAACTGAGTAACTTATCCAAACAAGAAAGAATCAATCACGGCTGAAGTCACTTCAAAAGGGTAGGGCCTCAGCTGGCCAGTTAGCTCAGCTGGTTAGAGTGTGGTGCTAACACCAGGGTCCAGGGTTCAGTCCCTGTGCTGGCCAGCAAAAAAAAGAAAAAAAGAAAGAAAGAAAAGGGAGTGGGGCCTCACTGACAGGCACTGAGAGAAATTTGGACAACGAGAGCAAGATGTACTGCTGAGAATCTAAACACAACAGTGCTCGCTATGCTCTCCATCTGTGCTGTTCAATAGGGCAGCCACTAGCCGCATGTGGCTATTAAAATTAAAACTAAATAAAAATTTTTAAATTCTGTTCCTCAGATGCACTGGCCATATTTCAAGTGCTCATTAAGCACATGTAGACAGTGGCTACTGCATTGGGTACTGCAGGGAACATTCCCATCATCACAGAAAGCTCTTTGAACGCCACCACCCTAGATATTTCTGTTGTTACTTTCAATCCATTAGATTCAGTGGTTCTGTTGCCACCTATGGGTGGCTCATTTAGTCTTATAAGCATAGGAGAAATTAAGTGCTTTTATAAATTATATTGATGGCATATACAAAACAGCTCATTGCTTAGTTAAAATGAAGAAACAAATATATGAACAATAATATATACATATACCAAACTAACCATATTTCAAATTGAAATAAGTAAATTGCTAAACTACATAAAAAGAAGTCAGTTCTATTTGCATAAAGCATGAATTGAATACATCAATTCCTTTTTTTTAAAAAAAAAAAAGTCTGAGACATTTTCCCTGCGATGCTGATGAATTCTCACTCTTATTCTTGATGTAAGTGCTCCATGATCTACTTGACCTATTTCTAGTGTGTCCTGAGTGAAATCTGGGACTGGGTTGCCTGGGATATACGGACAATCCCACTGCTGGTTGACGTGGCAGAGCTGGAGGAGGAAGTAGACTCTCCAGCGATGACCTTACCTGTATTCCACTCATGGTGGCAGCTTCCCCAGGGAAGGTCGATGGTGAAGCTGCTGAAGAGGTAGAAAAGGGCCCAGGCCAGGACGACGATGTAGTAGAAGTTGAGGAGGACAACGATCATCTGCGAGGCATAGCCGATGCCTGTGGGGGGGAACTGCAGAACTGGGCTAGGGGCAGCAGGCAGACTCCTCACACACCACGCACCCCTGTTTAGAGGAGCGTTTGCGCTCCACTGTCCGTGTCCTCACGCAGGAAGTGTTGGGGCCTGGGATCCTGGCTCGCTCATCTCCCGCCCCTGCACCCGGGAGTGTGAGGCCTGTGCTCCAACAGCCCTTCCCAGGTCAGAGAGGGACGCTCCTTCTGTCTCTGCTGCACTACCCCGCTGCCTGTGCACCTTCGTCCTTAGCAGGGTCTAAAAGCTCACTGATTCAAAGTCATTTTTAAAATATATAAGACTACCTCCAAGATACTAATAGTTAATGTTCCCTGGAATTAGTCTAATATATTTCTGAAATATAAAAACACAAGTGTAGGGACAGACAATTCACAAAGGAGAAAATACAAATAATGAATGAACACCTTAACATATAGTCTTCCTCCCTAGTAACTGTAGGAACACAAAATAAAAAGTGATGAATATCATTCTGCATCTGCAATCTTAGTGAAATTTTTTACAAGAGATATAACTCAGTAGTTTCCAAACTTGTCTGCGTATTAGAATTACCTGGGGATATTTATGAAATTCCAAAGCCCAGCCCAGACCATTAAATCACAATCTCTGGTGATGAAGCACAGGCCACAGGATATTTTAAAGGTCCTGAGGTGATTTCAATGTGCAGACAAGTTTGGGAACTACCAATAGAACCCACAGTTGTTAAAGATATGGGGATAGATGCCTACTCAGGTCTAGTGACATTGTGAGTCAGTATACAGCTTCCACAGGAAAATTTAATAAACCAGATCAAGAGACATCAACTTAATTGACCATTTTATCCAGTAATCCCAAATCTGGGAATTTATCCCAAAGAAATAATTCCAAAAGGGAGAGGGGAGAGGCTATCTGAACAGATATACATTATAGCAGAATGTAAAAGTTTTAGAGGTAATTGAAAATAAGCAAAAATCCCCAAACAGAAAACTGTTAATTATGATCTATCCAATTTATGGAAGTTTATACAATCATTGAATGATTTTTTGTACAGAAAATGGAAAATGTAACTGAATGAAAGAGAACTTAACTGTACATATTCCATATTAATACATACATGAACTCCATAGAAAGAGAAAGAAATACTGAAATAAAACTCCCCAAACTGGTAACAACCCAACTGTTCTTCAATGGGTGAATTGTTAAAAAACTGTGGTACCCGCATACCATGAACACCACTCAGCAATAAAAATGAACTACCTGACACACGCAACAACCCGGTGGATTGATAGATCTTAAGGGCATCATGTTGAGTGAAAAAGGCGATCTCAAAAGGCTCCATACTGCATGATTCCATTAATGTAACATTTTCAAAATGACGAAATTATAGAGAAAGAGAACAGATTAGTGGTTGCCAGAGGTTAGGGATGGGGAAGGGAGAGGGTCAGTGTGACTTTGAAGGGGTAGCATAACAGAGTCTTTGTGGTGATGGAACAGTTCTGTGTCTTGATTATGGTGGTGGTCACACAAATCTACACATGCGATACAATTACACAGAATTATACATGCACACACAAATGTGGAAAACTGGTGAAATCTGAATAAAGCCTGTGAATAATACCAACGTCAGTTTCAGTTTTTCATGTTGTACTATAGTTAGGTAACATGTTACCATTGGGGGAAATTAGTGTACACAGGGTACACAGGACCTCTCTGTACCACTTTTTTGGTAACTTCCTGTGATTCTATAACTATTTCAAAATAAAAATTTAAAGAAAATCCTATATATAGAGAGAAATAATAAAATACCCTAAATTTTAAATAATTACTGTGTCAAGGTTGTAGAACAATTAATGAAATAATGTTTCTCATTTAAAATTCTCTCTCTTTTTTTTTTTGTCTTTTTTGTGACCGGTAAGGGGATCGCAACCCTTGGCTTGGTGTCGCCTGCACCGCGCTCAGCCAGTGAGCGCACCGGCCATCCCTATATAGGATCCGAACCTGCAGCACTGCCGTGCTCCCAAGTGCTGCACTCTCCTGAGTGCACCACGGGGCTGGCCCTTAAAATTCTCTTTTATAACATGCGTTGTAACACCAAGATGAAAGGTTCAGATCCCTGTACTGGCCAGCCCCCCAAAATTAAAAATAAGAATAAAAATTTTTTAAGTGTTTTATAATTGATTAACTATATCTTAAAAATATAAAATCATTGTTATATATTTAAAGTATGTATAGCTAAAATGGCTTTGCACTCCACTTATTAAATCTAAAGACTTTGTCTCATTCTCACTCCCATTTCTCCCTAATCCTCTGATGCACCAGGTGACTAGCTCAGTATTCTGCCCACAAACTGAGGGTTTAACGTAGAGGCACAGAGTCTTATGTTAATCTCAGAACTGCTGCTAATCACTCAGTCATTCCAAATAAGGTTTATAATCACTAGTGAAGATACCCTGTCAGCAGGCACAGAGCTACTTACCCTCAAAGATGGGGCAGATCTTCCTCCAGGCTGTGACACCTCCCTGGCTGGTGTACTGGCCCAGTGCTGTTTCCAGAAGGAAGACAGGAATGCCACAGGTAAATAGGAATATTAGGTAGGGGATGAAGAAGGCACCTGTGGGTAGAAAACAGGTTGTCCATTACCTGGTACCAACCTCTTCATGGTCCACATTCATCTCCTCCTATGACTACCCCATATTGCCAGTCAGAATCCTGGGGGTGCGGAGCATGCAAAACTACAGGAGACATCTGTCTAGATGTCTGGAATCATAGCAGGGATCAAGAGACACCAAGTTACCTAGAAGCTACACAGTCTCAAGCCTTATTTTGCACTGTGAAGTTTCAATCTAAACCTGCCAAGGTTTGCTCCTCACTGATTATCAATTATTGCCCAAATAACATGTAACTTGTGGCAATAGCAAGGAGCTCATTGAATAATAGATACTCAGGAGCATTAGCATAGCCCACAGTCTATACTTCTTTTCAAAGAAATAATTGCTCTTAATATCAGATAGGGACCATAAGCAGGCTAAAATCAGATTTCCTTTTAGTAATCTTTCTGCTTCTGTTTTCATAATCATTGCCTGAGACAAGAAATGCCAGACATGCTGGTATTTTCTCTACCATGGACCTCCATCTGCTGGCAAAGTGGACGGGGGAGTTTACAGGACAGAGTACCAGAGAAGAGAGAATTGCACAGAAAGGGAAATCCAGATATCAGCAGAGGATCCCCCTCAAGCTTTTAACTGGGTACTGGTCAGCATGTGTCTGAGGAAACTACCCAAGGTGAAGGACACACCATTCAAAAAGATTAAGAGTGAAGGTGCTCACACAGTTCCTGTTCCCACTAGCCAGACTGAATAATCTCAAGATTCACCAAGCATTGGGTAGAATATGCAGAAAGGCATTTCCTCAGTAGTAGGGAATAATTAGCCCTGTACTGAGCACAACTCTGGTCCTACCTAACAAATCTTGAAAGCAAGATGCAAAAAGATCAAGTAACTTCATTGGTTCCCAAACAGAACTCAAGAATATTTACAGAAATACAAAACTATACAGCAACCAATAAGGCAAAAATATCACCAGGTCTGGCATCCAATCAAAAATTATCAGGAAAGCAAAGAAGCAGGAAAATGTTACTCATACTAAGTAGGTAAATCAGCCAATTGAACCTGATATGTAACTTACACAGATGTTAGAATTAGCAGATGAGAATATTTAAAAAGTTATTGTAACTATATTGCATATATTCAAAAAAGTTAGATAGAAACATGAAAGATAATTGAAAAAGACCCAAATCAATCTTCTAAAGATGAAAACTACAATATGTGAGATAAAAAATACAGTCTGGGATTAATATCAACAGGTGTAACAGACGATAAGATTAGTGAACTTGAATCATAGTAGAAACTAAACCAAAAAGCAAAACACAGAGGGAAAAGAGAATTTTTAAAAAAGAACAAGTGTTAGTGAGTTGTGGGACGACTTTAAGCAGCCTGATATACTTGTAATTAGAGTCACTGAAGGAAATAAAAAGGGTAAGAATCGGAAAAAAATTAGAAGAAATAATGGTTGCAAATTATACAAATTTTATGAAAACTATAATCGTACAGATCCAAGAAGTTCAACAAATATCAAGACAGGAAACATGAAGAAAACTAAACCAAGGCACATAATCACATTATTTAAGCCAGTAATAAAGAGTTTTTAAGGAGAAATCTTAAAAGTAATCAGAGAAAAAAAGACACATATGTACAAAAGAACAAGGATAAAGATAAAATTAAATTTCTCTTGGAAAACAATACAACCAAGAAGACAGTGATAGGTGAGCACATTTGTTAAAGCACTGAAGGAAAAATAAGTCAACCTGGAATTCTACACCTAACCAAAATACTGTTGAAAAATGAAAGTGAAATGAATGCTTTTTAAGTCATGCAGAACCTGAAAGAATTTATCACCAGCAGATCTGCATTACAAGATATGTTGAAGAAAGTCCTTAGGCAGAGGAAATAAAAATGCCAGATAGAAATATGGGTCTACACAAAGGAATGAAGAACTTTAGAAATGCTAACTACATAGGTAAACATATTTAAAAACTTATTATACAAATCTCTTTAAAAGATAATTTACTGATTAAACAAAAATAATAACAATGTAATGCAGAGTTTACAACATGTGAAAAAGTAAAATGTATAACAAGAGCACAAAAATCAGGAGGAAAGAAGTGGAAGTGTACTATTGTAAGGATCTTATATATAAAGTAGTACAGTATCACTTGAAGATAAACTATAATAAGTTAAAGATGTATTCTACAAAGTCTAAAACAACCACTAAAATAACACAACAAAGTTACGGCTAGTAAGCCAACAAAGGAACAAAGCCAACAATGGACTAAAAAATATACAAGTAATCCAAAAGAAGGCAGAAAAGGAAAGGGGGAACAAAGAACTGATACAAATAGAAAATAAATAGTAAGATGATAGATTTAAACATAACCATATGGATAACTGTATGAAATGTAAATGGTCTAAATATCTCAATTAAAAGGCAGCAATTATTAGATTGACTTTAAGAAAAAACAGTAAGACTCAACTATATCATACCTAAAAGAAATGTGCTTCAAATGAAAAAGACATAAAGAGGTTAAAAGGATGGAGAAAGATATACTGTGCTAATACTAATCAAAAGAAAGCTGAAGTTTTTATCTTAATATCACACAAAGTAGATTTCAGAGCAAAGGTTATTGCAAGTGTAAAGAAAGTCATTTCATAATGATTAAGGGATCAATTCATTATGAGGACATAATAATCCTCCAGGTATATTCTCCTAATAACAGAGCTTCAAAATACATGAAGCAAAAACTGATAGAGCTGCAAGGAGAAATAGATAAATTCCTAATTAAAGTCAAATATTTTAATATCCCTCTCAATAATTTATAGAATAGGTAGACATAAAATCAGTAAGGATATAAAAGATTTGAAAACCATATCAACCAATTCAACTTACTTGACATTTATAGAATGTTCTATTCAACAATAGCAGAATATATATCATTTTTTTAAGAGAACATGATATATTTACCAAGATAGACCATATTTAGACCACAAAACAAATTTCAAGTTTAAAAGGATTCAAGATATACAAAGTATATTCTCTGACTAAATTAGAAATCAAGAAGAAGAAGATATTTGCAAATTCCCATGCATGGGTCAAGGAAGTAATCAAAGGAGAAATTAAAAAGTATCTTCAATGGAATGACATAAAACACAACATATCAAAATTTGTAGGATGCTGCTGAAGCAGTACTAAGAGGGATATGTATAACACTAAATGGCTATTATTATAAAAGAAAAAAAGTTTCAAAAGTATTACCTCAGCTTTCACCTTAAGAAATGAAGAAAACAAGAACAAATAAACCCCAAAGTAAGTCAAAGAAAATAATGAAAATCAGAGTGGAAATCAATGAAATAAAAAACAGAAGAAGAATAGAAAAGATCAATGAAACCAAAATAAAATTAATTAACTTTTAGAAGACACAAATTACCAGTATGGCAAATGAGAGAGGTATCATCAGTATGGATTCTGTAGATAATAAAAGAATAAAGAGAAAGCATATAAACAACTTTAGGTCAATAAATGCAACAATTTAGGTAAAATGGACAAATTCCTTGAAAAACACAAACTACCAAAGCTCACTCAAGAAGAAATGGATAATCCAAATAGCCCTATAACTGTTAAATAAATTGATTTTTTGGTTAAAAACCTTTTCACAAAGAAAACTACAGGACCACATGACTTCACTGGCGAATTCTCCAAACATTTAAGAAAGAAATAATACCAATTTTACACAAACTGTTCCAGAAAATTGGAAAAGAAGGAATGTTTCCCAATCCATTCTATGAAGCCAGCATTACCCTAACAGAAACAGATGAGAACATTACAAGAAAAGAAAATTAAAGACCAATATCTTTCATGCTCATAGATGCAAAAATTCTAAACAAAATTTTAACAAATCAAATCAAATAATATGCAAAAAAGGATAATATATTATGTAGTGGTGTTTATTCCAGAAATACAAAGTGGGTTTAACATTTAAGAAATCAATGTAGGGCCGGCCCGGTGGCGCACTGGAGAGTGCGCCGCTTGGGAGCGCGGCGGCGCTCCCGCTGAGGGTTCAGATCCCATGTGGAGACCGGTTCCCACTCACTGGCTGAGCGCGGTGTGGGCGCAACACCGAGGGTTGCGATCCTGTTGCCGGTCCCCGGTACGGGCGCGACACCGAGGGTTGCAATCCTGTTACCGGTCAGTAAAAAAGACAAAAAGGAAAAAAAAATCAATGTAATTCATCATGTTAACAAATTTAAAAAGAAAAATCGTATAATCATTTCATAGGCACAGAAAAAGTATTTGACTGAATCTAACAACCATTTCTGTCAAAAACTCTCAGCAAATGATGAATAGAAAAGAACTTCCTCAACTTGATAAAGGGCATCTGCAAAAAAACCTACAGCTACCATCATACTCAATGGTGAAAAACTAAGATCAAGAATAAGACAAGTGTGTCTATTCTTACTACTTCTATTCAGCATTGTACTGGATATTCTAGCCAGAGCAATAACACAAGATAAGGAATTAAAGGTTATTCAGATTGAAAAAGAAGTGCTTTATTCACAGACAACATGATAGTCTACTTAGAGAATCCTCTGGAATGTATAGTAAAACTACTAGAACCAATAAGTGAGTTTAGCAAGGTTGCAGGATACAAGATAGCCATACAAATATCAATTGTATTTCTATATATTAGGAACAAACAATCACAAATTAAAATTTAAGAAATAATACCATTTATAATAGCATTAAAATATGAAATACTTAGGAATAAACTTGACAAAGGTTGCAAAAGATATCTACATTCACAAACTCAAAATATTGCTGAAAGAAATTAAAGACCCAAATAAATGAAGAGACCCACCATGTTCATGTGTCAGAAGATACAATATTATTAAGAGGTCAATTCTTCCCAAATTGATCTATAGATTCACTGTAATCCCAAACAAAATCCCAGCAGCCTTTTTCTTTTTGTAGAAATTGACAAACTGATTCTAAAACTCATCT